TTAGCTGATCTCTTTCTCCCTTCTCTTACCAGGAAAGGGCATTGGGCCCAGGAGTAGAGGATGTGAGGCAACTAATTGTTTTTTTTGTGAGGGCGGGACTGGGGTTTGAACTCAGGTCTTGCAAAGCAGCTGCTCTTACTGCTTGAGCTACACCTTCAGTAGGCAAAGGTCAGTTTGCTCAGTTGCCTAAGTCCTGTTCTTATCTCAAAAACAATGTATGCACCTATGAATAAATGAATAAAAAAAAAGATGAGGCATAAACTTAAAGTGCTTCATAATCCCTGGGTTTGATATTCTTTCTTTCTCAGCTTTCCCTTAGCTTCAACATCAGTTTCCAATACTTTCCCCCTTCCCTTTGTACAGGCATGACAGGGAGAACCACTGTTCTATTCTTTGGTTACTTTTCTAGTAGTAAATTATTTCAGCTCATACTGATTTGCTACCTTTTGTCAACTCTTTCCCTTCCTTTTCCTACTTCCCACACCAGGAATAGGACCAAACAAAGAAAAGGACAGCAAAAGAAGAGACCCAGGATCTTGAAGTTTAAATTGATTTAAAAACTTTGTATGGTGCAGTTCAAATGTTAATGCTTACTGGCTGTTTTTTATTATCATATTATTGTTTTACTGGGGGTACATTGTGACATTTACAAGTTCTTATAATATATCATAGTTGAATTCACCCCCTCCATCATTCTCCTTTATTCCCACTCCTGGAATAGTTTCAACATGTCTCATTTTTCCATCTTCATACATGTGTACATAATATTTCAATTACATTCATCCTCCTACACCCTTTCCTTATATCCTCCCCCCTCCCACTGATAACTAATCCGCAGACAGGACCTGTTTTTTTTTTTTTTTTTTAAGTAAGATATTAGTATTGATGGTGATAGTAGTTGCAATTATGTATTGTGTACTGTACATCAATTATTGTGCCATGAGCTTACATAGTTATTTAAATCTTTCAACATTTCTACAAGGAAGATACTATTGTTATTCCATTCTGCAAATGAGAACACTGAGACATGTGAAGGTAAGAAAGTTGTCAAAGGTCATACAACTAATACATGACAGATCTAATAATATGGATGACAGATCTATATTCCTTAGCAATATATTATTTTATGTTTCAGGAAAGGTAGAGATCTAGAGTCAAATTTTAGAAAGTCAAGTAATGTTTTACAAGTCAAGTATATTTTGGATTTATATTTTTGTATTATTTTGAGTATATGTAAACCTATATGAGACATTTTTAGTGGCTTGTGTGTCCTTCCCTCCTTTTCCACAGTATTGGAGGATGACAGGATGAGAATCTTCCAGGAGACTAATCCTAAAGCTCTTCATGGAGTGGTTTAGATTGGAACTAGATAGACCAGTTAGGAGACCATAGAATGATGGAAGCATGATAGAGGGCAGGCAAATTTAGATTTAAAGTAAGATACCACTTACGATAAATAGGAGAAGGGAAATAAAATGATAATATATCTGTGTAACCTTCTAGTAAGGTGTTTTGTTTAGATTGAAAATAGTAGGCTAAAATGAAAAAAAAGACTTTTGTTATTACCTTACCTGTGATAGACAACCTCATGGATAATTCAGAGTTGACTGCAAATAGTTTTGTAATATAGTGTTCTCTATAAGCAATAACTTACAGTGTAGAAGTACGAGAAGAAGTTTTTTCAGTCTGGGTAATGCTTGTGTTAAGTCTCAACTGTCTCCTTATATTTCCAGTTTCTAAATATTGTATTTTCCTTCTGCAACAAAAAACTTCAACTGAAATCTATTTATATGTTTTTTTCCATATTTGAAGTTGTACAGTAATGCCATCTTGAGGTAGATTAAGTAACAGTTACAACTTGAATATTTTTTCTTTTCTTAGATACTTTGTACTACTTAATATTTGACAATATATAAAGTTCTCCTTCAAAATTTACTGTGAAAAATTTAAAACATGTAGAAAAACAAAAGAAGATATAACACTGATAGATATTTCACTTAGACGGGTTCAAACATTTTGCTGTTTTTGCTTTATTTGTGTGTATTTTTTGCTGAATCATTTAAAATAAGTTCCAGATGATTACATCGTACTTCTCTTTTAAATACTTCATTTTTTTACTCTAAGCACGAGGACCCTTTTTTTCTTTTCTTTTATTCTCTCTTAATTCATATATTCATATGTGCATACATTGTTTGAGTCATTTCTTTCCCCCTGCCCCCCACCCCCTACCTCTCCCCTCATGCCCCCTCGCTTACAGGCAGAACCTGTTCTGCCCTTCTGTTTTGTTGAAGAGAAGACATAAGCAATAATAAGAAAGACAAAGCGTTTTTGCTAGTTGAGATAAGGATAGCTATACAGAGAGATTCCAAACATTGCTTCCATGCACAAGTGTATTAAACCCGAATTGATTCATCTCTACTTGACCTCTTCACTACTTCCTGGTCACCTTCCCATGTTGACCTCTGTCACTTTAAGGTTACTGCATTAGCTCCTCTACAGTGGGAACATCAAACACTTTTAAGTTTTGGGTTTCCTACGTATATAAGGACCCTTTTCAGTCTCATTAATATACCTAAGAAAATTAACAATTTCAAAGTATCATTTAACATCCTGTTCATATTTAGAATTGCCCAGTTGCTTAGAGAATATATTAAAGCCAGTTTTTTTTCTTTTTAAAGTGGAATTCAGTCAAGCTAACAAATTACCTTTAATTGTTGCCTCTTTATTTTAGTCTAGAATAATTTCCTACCTTGATAAAATGACTAAATTACCAGGCCAGTTTTCTTGTAGAACTTCTCATGTTCTCAATTTGTCTGATTGTTTATTCATGTGGTTCTTTAAACCTTGTTCTCTTATTTTACTTTTTTTCCTGTAAAATGAAAGATTTATAGCAGGTAGGTCTGTAAATGTAGACTCCATGACTATGGATAGATATAGATATGGATATCTATATCTATATCTATCTATCTATCTGTTTATTTTGGTGGTACTGGGGTTTGAACTCAGGGCTTTGTACTTGCAAAGCAGGTGCTCTACTGCTTGAACCACACCTCCAATCTGTTTTGCTTAGTTATTTTGGAGATGGGGTCTTGCAAAGTGTTTGACCAGGCTGGCCTTAAACTGCGATCCTCCCAATCTCAGCTCCCAAGTAGCTAGGATTATAGGCATGAACCATTGGTGCAGGCTATAGTCTGTATTTCCCTAGCAGCTTTTTTCATATCTAACAAGTTATGTTTCCTTTGCATTGAAAGTACTGAGATGGATATGCAAGGAAATCTAAGAAATGTAATTCTTAACTTTTTAGAAAGCTTGAAAAAAGTTAGAGTAAATGAGCTGTTTGCCATGGGTCCTAGCTTTGTAGCTCTGCTCCTTTTTTCCTACTCTTATTTTTCTTTTCACCAGATTTCCTAACTTGACTTTTTAAAGAAGAACTTCACAAAGCACATAATTTTTCTGGACCTTGTTGTACTTATCTCTACTGTGAGAGGACTTTAGGTGATCTCTGAAGTTTTCATTAATAAAATACTGAAATAATCCATGTTCTTCTGTATTGTTTTAGTATTGCTTCATTTATAAAGTCTTATCTGATACTGTAGCCCATACTATGTTGTTTTGCCCCACAAATTCTTTCAGTGCTTATTAAAAAGTACAAACAAGCCGAGCATGGTGACTCACATCTCAAATCCTAGTTACTTGGGATGATTGTGGTTTGAGGCCAGCTAGGCAAATAGTTTGTGAGGCCACATCTCAACCAGTGGCTGGAAGCAGTGGTATGGGCCTGTCATCCCAGGATAGCAACTACTGCAGGAAGCGTAAAATAGGAGGTTTGAGGTTCTGGGCAAAAAGTGAGATTCTGTATCAAAACAAAAATACTAAATGTTTGTCGCAAGTGTTGAAGCACCTGCCTAGCAAGCATGAAGAATCCCTGATGAGTTCAAACCCCAGTACTACCAATAAACAAACACACAAATGCATAATATATACAAAATACACACACACATAAACATAGGTTAGCCTGTGTTTTACTTATATATATTTGTTTTGATTGCTTAATGGAATTGTAAATTCCTTAAAGAACACCACTTCTTTTATAATTAATGATTTTATAATCATTATATTACTATGTGGCAGTCACATAGTAAAAATAGTTATAACGATAATAACTAACATCTGTAAACACTAACTTTTAGGCAGGCATTCTTTAAAATGTTTTACATATGTATTCCCATAATTCTTAGCAGATGCTTATGAGGAATCTGGTGGTGACTTGCCACTGTAATCCTAGCTACTCACCCCTGTAATACTAGCTACTCAGGAGGCAGAAATCAGAAGGATCACTGTTCAAAGCCTACTTGAACAAATAGTTCTCCAGACCTTATGTCAAAATATACCCAATACAAAACAGGGTTGGCGGAGTAGCTCAAGTGGTAAGAGTGCCTGCCTAGCACCCGTGAGGCCCTGAATTAAAAAACCGCAGTACTGCCACCTGCCTCCCCCCCCAAAAAAAAGAAGATGTCTATGAGGTATGATCTTTTTTCACTTCATTTCACAGAAAGGTTAAGTAAATTTCCTCATGGTTATACTGCTGGCGAGTGATGGTGGGTTATGAACCCTGCCAGGTAGACTTCAACAACTTAAGCACTTAACCATTTTGCTATAGTGCGTCATTACTGCATATCTGTTTGATGGAGTGTTCTCATTTTTAATATACAGGATACAGGATTTGTATCTATTTGTACTTTGTATAAAAGACTAAGGTTGTTTCACCTTGGAGGAGATTTTTTTCAAAACAAAACCAAATAGCCTCCTTAGCAAATTAAATAATATGAACAACCTTTATGATTAACATCAAATATTCAAATTGCATATTTACACTTTGAGGGATTTTGAAAAAAATCTCTGGTTTTGAAAGAAAAATTTGTGATGTTCATAATACCTATGGATAGATTTTGGTTTGTATGAAGTGTCTTAATTATTATTTGTTTCTTACTTGCTTTTAGTTGAGTGGTGATTTTATGCAATGGCTTCAAGCCACAGTTCTTCACCAGTGCCTCAAGGAAGCAGCAGTGATGTTTTCTTTAAAAAAGAGGTAGATCCAGCAAAACACACTCGACCTGTGCAGTCACTGCCAGATGTGTGTCCCAAGGAACCCACAGGTAATGCTTTATTTTTATTTTAGGGTTTTTCTGATGATTTGCATTATCTTTAAATGAGTAGTCAGGTTTCATAAACTTTCCTTAAAAGAGTAAATTTACGATGTTAAAAATAGATAAGTAATGTATAAATAAACTGTTTGAGAAATTGAAATACAGTTCTTTTCATACATTTCCATAAAAGAAGTTACATAAGACAAAAGATTGAAAGCTATTTGGTTAAAACATATAGTATAGTCAGACTTCATTATTTGAAGATTCTGTATTTGCAAATATTCCTGCTCTCTAAAATTGATTTGTAGCCCCCAAATCAATACTTTTTGCCTTCCTTCCTTCTTTCCTTCCTTCCTTCCTCTTCCCTCCCTCCCCCTCCCTCCCTCCTTTTCTCCCTTCCTTCCTTCCTTCCTTCTTCCCTTCCTACTTTCTTCCCTTCCCTCCCTCCCTTTTTTTTTTTTAAAGACAGTGTTTCACTATGTAGATGAGGCTGCCCTTGAATTTATGATCCTCCTTCCTTGGTCTCCCAATTGCTGAGACAGGTGTGTGTCACCATAACTGGGTTCTTATGGTAGTTTTGTGGCCATTAGCAGATATATGCCAAGAAATGAAAAATTTGAGTCACCTGACCCATACCATGTTCCCAGCTTTGGTTGCACAAGATAGTGCTCTGCTTTTTTTTGTTTCAGATCTCATATTGTAAACAAAGAGTTCTTTTTGCAGGCTGTTTAGTGCCACATATTTTGCATTTTTGTGCTTTTTTGTTGATGCTTTGCTATTTAAAATAACTGTCAAGGATAGTGCTGAAGTGCTGTCTGGTATTGCTAAACACAGGAAAGTAGTGATGTGCCTCATGGAGAAAATACACGTGTAGAAAGTACACGTGTAAAATAAGCTTCATTCAGGCACGGGTTATGGTGCTATTAGCCATGGGTTCGATGTTTATGATCAGTGATATAGAATGAATAAATGTCCTTTAATAGAAACATACATAAAATAAGCCTCTGTATTTTATCAGTTGATGACAGTATTGTGCCAGAGGCTCACAAAAATCTAATTCTTTCGTTCTCCTAAGAGCACTAATTTAGTATTTGCTGGTTAGTTGTTCACAGTGACTTTATAGGAAAAAAACTGTAAATAATGACAGTTAACAGATTATTCATCTTTCCTCTGTGGTTAAATGCCACAGCAACATTATATTACCTGATTATAAACTAAATAAAGGTTATTTGAATTAGTAGTGCCTGCTCTAATATAACAGAGAAAAGTCTTACCTCTTAAAAAACTGTGGTATTTTCAATTTTTGAAAAAGAGAAATTGTACATTAAAAAAATGAATTAATGGAAATTAATGGAAAGTTTTGTTTTTTTTTTACATCCACCCCACCTGACAATTTAAAACATTCATATTTTGCGTATTCTTTATCTTGTACGTGTTTTTCATCCCTTTGACAATTGAGGTTTGAAGATGAAGATTAATCAGATTGATTTTTATTAATTTATTATGGATGAGAGAGTTTGGTTGGTTTGTGTTAAATATAAGCATTTTTACTTTTCTGGATACCCTTGCAGACATAAAACCAATTTCATAGAGTTCTCTTGTTTGCTTTTTACAGGTGATTCAAATAGTTTATGTGTTGCCCCATCTCTAGTTACAGATCAACATAGATGGACTGTATATCATTCCAAAGTAAATCTCCCAGCAGCATTAAATGATCCTAGATTAGCAAAAAGAGAATCTGACTTCTTCACAAAAACATGGGGATTAGACTTTGTGGACACCGAAGTCATACCTTCATTCTACCTCCCACAGATCAACAAGGAACATTTTACAGCATATCAACAGGAAATCTCTCAGGTAATATCTAATCTTGAAATTAGTTATAGTCAGATCAAAAGTAATAGAAATATTTTAGTTTAATTTATTGTAGATTTTTGACCAATAAGTGCTTCTTTCCCTTCCTTTTTATCTGTAAGAGCTTTAATAATAATCACATTTTGTTTTTCTGTTGGGAAAAAAGTGACAATTTGAAAAACAAAACATGTATATTCCTCTATTAAACAAAAGTTTATTCAGTTACTACATACACCAAGTATTGTAGGAAGTATTGCTTTTCTGTCTGTCACTGTCATGCACTGCCTAGATTTCCCTCTGGGACCCCTCACCATTAGGAGCGCTGTGAATAAGACAGCCCTCAGCTATCAGTCCCTTTCAGGAATTGCCTTGGTAGAAGATTGTTTTTCCCTAAATTGACCAGTAATCCTTGATGAATCTATTATATTCTTATTTGTTTATACAAATTCTACTGTCTTGGATTATGATTTTTCCTTAGATATGTTTCTCATTTATTGTAGCAATTTTTTAGAATTACACAATCCTATTAGTGCTAAGTTTCAATATGAACCCTACTCCAACCAAGGCAAAAATGGTTCTATTAGGCTTATAAAGCCAAATGATTTGTGAGATTTAAGAAATTAGCAGAGTAGAACTGTTTGTATGTCTCTGATTTACCACAGACAATTTAATAGAACATCTTAGCTCTAGCAGGTAGTTTATGTCTATATCCAGACATAATCAGTACATTGCTTTGGGTTTAAGAGCAAGAATGGACTACAGTGCTAAGTTTGAGATGACCTATTATTCATTTTTTGATTGTTAGTGATGGCTACTATCAATATAATTTTAGTAACCATTTTAGCCTTTTTTTTTTTTTTAGATCAAATGGTACAGGGAAGGTATGTATGTTTATCAACATAGAAGAGCTATGTGTGTGTGTGTGTGCGTGCGTGCATTTTTTTGCTTTTTTTTGGTGGTACTGGGGTTTGAACTCATGGCCTCACACTTGCTAGGCAGGCACTCTACCACTTGTGCCATTCCACCAGCCCTATATATGTCTCATTGTGTTGCCCTGACTAGTTTCAAACTCCTGGGCTTAAGCAGTCCTCCTGTGTCAGCCTCCTGAGTAGCTGAGATTATGGACATGTACCACCATGTTCAGCTCAGTACATATACATAAACACACACACACACACACACACACACACATACACACAGTACTAGGGATTGAGCACAGGGCATTGAGGATGCTGGGAAAGCACTTTACCACTTGAGCCACATCCCAGCACTGTATTTATATTTTTATAACTATTCCTTTCAGTACTTTTTCATTTGCAAGCCTAATTTGAATTTAGCTGATTTTATTTTACTTGGTTACTTTCTCTTTTTATTGTTTGGAAATAGGCTGAATATGGCATTTATACTGTACAGACTATCTGATTCTATCACATTTTTTGTATAGACCCTACAAATGGCAAATCTGAACAACGAGATGCCACTACATATCTATTAGAATGGCAAAAAGCTCAAAAACTGACAGTATCAGATGTTAGTAAGGATATGGAGCAACAGGAACTGTCATTCATTCTTGGTAAAGTACAAAATGGTGTAGCCTCTTTGGAAAGCAGTCCTGTAGCAACTGACAAAATTGCTACCTTAACTCTGAACACTGGTAGCCAAGTGTTTTCTTGTCATCAGACTCTACTTTCCCAGGTGTCCTTTCAGTGGCATCTCTGAAAAGATAACAATGTTGTCAGTGGCTATTTAATCCCAATTATAAACTAGAGTGAGATTTTTTTCTTTTTGACTCAAAGAGAAAGTGGCAGTAATTAATATCTTTCTATCTTGTATACATAGGTTTTTAGATTTACTTCCTTGATTTAAAAAAATTAAATCATTTCTGTTGTGTAAATAAAGATTTTCCAGTTACTTTTCCTCTTCATTCTATATATGGAGATTTTATTATAATTGCATATGAGGAAGTAAATACAGGTATATATTCTATTTTTGTGTTGGGGATCTAACCCAGGGCCTTGCACATGCCAGGCAAATAACTCTACCACTGAGCTACATCCCCAATCCTTCACAGTGGTATTTGGCTTATAAATCAGACTTGTTCTTGGTATTCAAGTTCAGGAAGCTAGTGATTTCATGTTAAAATTGTAGAACTAATTTGGTTTATTTTAAAATTCTGTTTTGAAATAATTTGATGCTTTGAGTACTCCTATTTCTACAGAGCATTGATCACATTATTTAACTGTCTTTTTCTTAGAGAGAGAAGATTCATGAGAGATGCAAGAATATTTGTCCTCCTAAGGATACATTTGACAGGACTCTTTTACATACTCATGGTATGAATATGTGTTATTTGTAGATAATAAAGCATAGCATGAATATTAATGAATAAATCTTAATTTTGGACCATTGTTTCCTGTCATATCTTTAATTTTTATTTCTAGCTTTTTGGTTGGCATTTTGTTTTCCACAGTGCTAGAGATTGAAACCAGGGCTTTATACATGCTTAGCAAGCACTCTACTACTGAGTTACATCCCAGCCCTTATTTCTAGTATAATTTTTGTAGCCTAATATCATAATCTTTCTAAAAGCTTGTAAGAGAAAAATCATGGGTCTGACAGTAGTGTAACCCTTCAGTTTGTCAAATATTTAATATCTTGGTGCTTGGTATTTTGTTTATTGTTTAAAGAATAGATGAATAAGAAATAGTGTCTGTTCTGAAGCAGCTGATTATCTTTTGAGTAAGGCTAAAGAAATAAACCAATAATTGCAGCACTGTATATTAAATAGTAAGGTCTGGATAGTAAGGTTGTACATACATTTGTAACTCTGCTTTAGAAGGCTTCCCAGAGTTGATGATGATTACATGAGTAGTTAGTGTGAAACATTCATGTGTTTAATTTGCACTATGTATTTCTTTGGAATATTTATTTATTCCCAGGGAAAAGGAAGAGTTTCTACACTGCCATAAAGTAAAGAGAGAACATAGCATGTTTAAAGAGTTGCAAGAGTCTAGTATGTTGACTGTACTTGGAATAAGAGATGAAGCTGAAGCAATAGGCAGGGGTCTGAAGACCATGCTCAGAAAATTTACTTTTTCTAAGGGCAATATAGAGCTACAAAATACTTTTAGGCACACACGATCAGATTTGTAATTATGCATTCACTGTGGAAACAGATATGAATCATGAATTTACAGATGATAGTAAGACTGGAGGCAAGGAAACAGTTGGAGGTTACTGCAGTGTTAAGTGAGAAATGACGTGGTCCAAATAAGAGTTGAACTGGAGAGGAAATTAGAATCAGATCCCTCAGAAATCTAGGCACAGCTTTCGATGGCCAGTTAGTGTTTGGTAGTAAGAAAAATGATTTAAGGATGACTGCCAGATTTCTTCCTTGGACTTAGGTAAGAGGTACAGTTCATTGTAGGAGGAGAAATTTGGGAAGAAATGGAGGCTAGTTTAATTGCAGATTTGCAGTTAAGGACATGTCTGGTTGGCAATTTAGAGCTTAGGAAATATAAACTGAAATGTAGGTATGGTGGATGGACATTATCAGAGACAGTATCCTAGACAATAGTGTAATAGTTGAATGCAAGGACACAACTGGGATTACCCAGTGAGGTTGTGAATAGTGAGAAGGAAAGGACTGATACTAGGACACTAGGAAGCTACCACATTTAAGGGGCAGACAAGATGAGATATTTGTTAAGGAGACTAAAAAAAATGGTCAGAGGGACAGGAGAGTCAACCTGGAGAGAATTCTATCTTAGAAAAGAAACAGTTTCAGAGAAGTAAGAATGATTAATCTACAATGTCTAATACTTGAGGGATAGATCAGTTTGCACACTGAGACATCTCCTAAGATTTGGCAGTTAGGGGATCTTAGGGAGAGCATTTAGACTGGAGCAGACATAGAAACCTCAATTCTACATATTAAGGAGTGAGTACAAGAGAAAGAAATGCAGACTACTAGTAGGGATATGACTTGAAGATTTGAGATGAGGGAGTAACTGGAGAGAACAGAGTGGAGGAAGGTGTTTTCAAGGCCAGGACTCAATGAGGCAAGAGAGGCACTTGCATAACCGTGAGGCTGAGTTCTTCATAGATTTTGTACCTGATGTGATTCCCTTGCTTCAACCCAGTCCTAGCCCTAGGTTTTATCTTTTTTTGTTGCTATTTCTCTGTTTGTAAATGAGAGAGAACCAAGCATATTTATATGCAAAGAGAAGAACATTAGTAGAAGGGAAGAGGTTGATGATAGGGAGGGAGGTGAGATAATCAGTGAAGCAAGCTCACGGAAGAGGTAGGAAATGGAATCCAAGTACAGAAAGGTTAGTTTTGGAATAGAAAGGGGTATTTCATCTGAGATTGGATTGGCAGGATGAAGGTAAAGAAGGTTCATTTTTAAGTTTGTAGATAATACAAGCTAATATGTCTGAGAAGAAAATTAATGATATAGAAAAGTATCTTTGATCATAAGAAATTCTGGATGTGATGGGTATTTTGAATAATAAAAAGTATGTTTACAATTAATTCATTTTCTAATACTATATAGCACAACATACTAATTTTACCAAAACTTTTAAGAGAGCATCAAAAAAACTTGAAATGTGTTTAGTTGTTTTATTGATGCTAAACAGTTAATTAAAATTATTTGAAACACATCTTATTCAGAGATTTGCCTGCAGTAGGCAGATGGTAGGTGGACTGAGGGATACTTGATGAAGAAAGAAACCTAAGTAAGTAGTTACGTGGTTGTGACCCAGTGCAATATTGATTCTGTCAAAATATATTTTATTGAGGTAAAATGAAAACAAGTTTAAAAGATTGTATTTTCCCTTTTCCTTTTTTTATCATAGATAAATCCAGGACAGATCTGGAGCAAGTACCTAAGGTAACAAAGCTTAAAAATGAGAATACTGCTTTTTAATATTTGGTCTTTTATTTGGCCTTATAAAGCTTTCATTTGGCTATTTTTTGACACTTAGGCCACTTTACCTCTTCTAGTGCTTTGTTGTATCCCTCTTCTCCTTTCTCTCTCTTCAAAATGAAAAAAAATTCAGTTGACAAAAATTGTTTATGTTGTGTACTCTTTCTTTTTTGTATCAGTCTGTTCCTCATCAATGAAAACTACAAATATATTTATACAGGTTTCTCTATTCTAAAAGAGAATTTTATTCATTTTCCTAGCTCTTCAAATAATTAAGAGATACTTTCTTTGCATGAAAAGTGTTGTAGACTTGTTTAACAGATAGATTCTTTTCTGGGAAAATAGTTCATTTCTTTATCTCTTTGAGATCTATGACAATTGCTCTTTAGGATGAGAAAGAGACAGAAAGGTGAAGTGGGAGATCATTTTTAAACCTCTTTGACTCCTACAAAATAAAATCAAACCCTGACACTTAAAATTCTTCATAATTTGCTTTCATCATAGTCATGCTTCTAACTTTTGCCTACTAACCTTTATACATCTTCTACTTCAGTCAAACTGTTCTTTGCTGGCTTCATGCTTTACTTGCGCTCTTCCCTCAGCCTGGAAAACTTTTTCTCCATCTTTCCATATTTAATCCTTTATAATACTCTGCACATGTACTTTCTTATCCTTCTCAACTGAATATAACTAGCCCCTTTGCTAAATTCCCATAACATTTATGCCTAGGACAATCCTACCCCTCTAAGATACTTGTCACTTTTTTTGTTGGGGGCCTGGCTCCTTTCAGGATATTTGTATGCTTGCCTCTGATATCCACAACTGGTTCCAGGATACCATCAAGGACACCAAAATTTACCAATGCCTAAGTCTCTTATATATTGCATATAACCTGCACAATTCTCCTTTAAATTTTAAATATGTATCTCTAGATTACTTAGAATAACTAAAACAATGTAAATCTGTTCAGAGTTGTTAATGCTGTATTGTTTAGGGAATAGTGACAAGGAAAAATAGATGCAATTTTTTTTTCAAATAATTTTGATCCTTGGTTGAATCTGCTCATGTGGAACCCAAAGATACAGAGGGTCAACCATATACATATTTTAGCATATTCCTTGAACTGAAAAATCCTTGAGATTAGGATCTGTGTAGTAATTTTTGTTTCCCCCTACGTGCCTTGTGCAAGAAATAATTAGTAGATATTTATTGAATTAATTAGTACTTTTAATTATAATACTAAGTCAGGAATTAGAAAATGTTCTGCTCCTAGTTAGAGTTTCCCTATCATATTCATACTAGTTTAAAACAAGTTCATAAATAACATATAGTATAGACATTAATAAATCAATTGATTAACTCAGGTCTTAGGACCTGTGGCTAGGTGCTAGGGATACAGTGATTAATTAATAGGGATACAGTTGGATTAATAAATCCAACTTTGGTGGTCTCCAGGAAGAGATGTGCATATAGATAATTAATTTATGGAGTATGAGATAAACAAGTATACATGATATACTTGTGTTGAGAGGTTGGGGAGTGATTATTCTCTGTGTCATACATAGAGACCTATTTACCCTTTTGATTGGGTCATGTTCTCCAGGAAGATAGGCAAAAAAGGGCATTCTAGGATAAGGGACATGTAAAGATAACTTATGCATAAGAAGATGCAGAAGGCGCCAGATGAACTGGTTTATGCCTGTAATCCCAGCTACTTGTGAGGTGGAGGTAGAGAAGGATCAAGGTCTGAAGCCAGCTCCAGACAGAAGCACAAGATGCTATCTGAAAAGTAAACAAAAGCAAAAAAGGCTGGGGGCATGTCTCAAGTGGTAGAGCACTTGCCTAGCAACTCTGAGGCAATGGAAGGTATGGGGGATAATTGAGTACTGCTAGAATGTAATATGTAAATAGTGAAAGGGAATGACAAGATACAAAGAGGTATTCTAAATTGTTTGCTCTGTGGGTCATGGGAATGCTTGGAGAGTTTTAAACAGGGAAGTTCTTACAGTTAAATTTGACATTTTAAAATGGTACTCTGACAGCATTACAAGGCATTCCTTGTTTTAGGGAGGGGGTAGCTATTTACTATATGCCAGAAAAATGAAGAATTGAACTGATGAATGCTGAGGAGTTATAGAGAGGGGATTCAATCAATTTTTAAGAAGTATAATAGGTGTGTCTTATTGACTAGCTCAATGTGGTATGTAAGGGAAAAGGAACATCTCTTCATAAAAATTAATGTTTTAGTTTTAAATTTTAGTGTGGGCTTATTCTAAAAACTAATTTTGAAGGGTTTTTGAACCGGAGAAAACAGAAATATAAGTCAGGAATTAATTTTTGACATTTAAAAAAACTTATCAGTTGGAAACAATATTGAAATTTTAGGATTAATATGGTAACTCCCTTTGTCACGTGCCTGGTAGGACTTTTAGTGAGTTCATATAGTAATAGAATGATCATAGCCACTGGTAAAAGCAAAAAGCATTTTTTATCTTTTATGAGCATTTCAAACTTGGTTCACCAAGTTTACATTATTTGTACAGTGTTCTGATCCAGATTTTTTTGTGAAAATAGCTCAGATCATTACCACTTGCTTTTACTGTTCATACTCAAGATCTCAGTTGATTTTTGTTTAATGTCCTTATAATGTTAGAAGGGCTAATTATATAGAGAAAATGCTTATCTAATTTGGGGAAAATGCATTCTTTTTAACAGATTTTTATGAAACCAGATTTTGCCTTGGACGATTCCTTAACTTTCAATTCAGTTTTACCATGGTCTCATTTTAATACTGCTGGTGGAAAAGGAAATCGTGATGCAGCTTCCTCAAAGTTGCTTCAAGAAAAGGTAATTCTCTTTGACTTTTTCAGTGTAGAAAACTATTCTGGTTAAGTGGTACTACTTGTGTGAGTTCAGATTTAGTTACTTAGTAAGTTCTAATTCTTTTGAGGTTTCTCTCCTTCCTCCTTCCCTTCCTCCCTCCCTCTTTTTAAAAAAAAGAAAATAAGAGCCAGCAATAGTTTCATCAATCTATGCAAATGCTTTTAGAAATACTTTGAATTTTTTTCCTTCATATTATTTTAATAGGAAATAATTTATGGAAATACTATACCTTTGAAAAAAATAGATCAATAGAATAGTGATGGATTCCAAAAACCTTTGAAATTCAAATGAAATACTTTTCTCAGTCTGAATGTTTAAAGTATCTAAAATAATGCATTAAAAAAATTTCTTGGGCTGGCTTAGTGGCTCAAATGATAGAGCTCTTGCCTAGTAAGCACAAGGCCCTGAGTTCAATCCCCAGTATTGCAAAAAAAAAAACCAAACAAATACAAAAAAATTTTAAGTTACACAGTTAGGTTGGCTATATTTACTTTCTGACTCCTTTTCATTCTGTTTTGTAGTTAGAATAGGAATGAAAGACAGAATTCTAAGACAGTACTTTGAAGCTCCTATTATGATGGACAATAGCTGGTTTATCTTTCTAGTTTTAAAGAAAGCAAGAAATTCATACCATATTTTGTGCTACCCAGAGTGCTGGTTTGTGATGTGATAAGGAGTTTGCATTGGAATGCAGATCACCATACTGTGTCTTCATTAAGAAAGTCTTATATAAATGGGGTATGGTGGTCCACACCTGTATTCCCAGCATTCAGGAGGCTGAGACCAGACGAATGCAGAAAGAGAAAAAGAAAAAGCAGGTCTGGGAATGTAACTCAGTGATAGAGCAAGCCTAATAGGTATGAAATCCTGGGTTCCATGCTCAGCACTGGTGGTTAGGTGTGGGGAATTAATGATGTCATTGATTTATATTTGGCAAAGATCCTCATTTTGACAATTGTGTATACTTCAGCTTGCAGTCTACCTACTACATTTGTCCCCATGTTGCTTTTTAGGTAAATAAATGAACAGCTGTATTGAAGATACAGGACAAGTTCTTGTTTGTAACTCATTACATTTTATAGTAGATTAGTAGAATGTTGAAGATATGAGTGTTTTTAAGAAAACACTATTCATGACCAAATAATGTCTTCTAATCATTAAAATAATAAATGTTGAAAATACATTAACCCTTTAATATTATAAGATATTCAGAGATACTCTGAAGTCTGAGCTGTAGGTTAAAAAAAAATCTAAAAGAAAATGGGAGAGAAATTGAAAGACAATGTAGTCAAAAAAGGCATATGCAGTTAGAAAGGTAGAAAAGACAAATTAAGTCTCAGAAATCCAGATTTGAAATTTAGAAAGCATGCCTAATACATAAGATTTAATCTTGGGGCCAGGCATGGTGGCTCACTCTTGTAATCCTAGCTGCTTTCTAAAGGCTTGGATAGGAGGATCGTGGCCCGAGGCCAGACCTGTTCAAAAACACCAACAAAAAAGGGCTGAGTCATGGCTTAAGTGGTAAAGTACCTGCATAGCAAGTACAAGGCCTTGAGTTTAAACCCCAGTACTGCCAAAAAATAAAAAATAATCTTGGTAGTGTTAAGATACACGTGAGCTAATTGCTTAAGGCATTTGTCAGTGTTTTAAGAAGATAATACATTGAAAATAAAAATGTTATAAATGAATAAGCAGCCTTGAAGAAAAGATCCAAATGAATTCTAGTGTTTTCTCTAATTTGTGACTGAACCACCAATCTGTCTGACATTTTTGAAATAGCATAGGATAGTAGGAAGAACTTCAGTTTTTGAGTCTGAGACCTGGGTTCACATTTTAGTTTTGCCACTTGCTAACCACACAGTTTTACTCAAGTTATCTAATGTGTCAGGTTTTCTCATTTGTAAAATGAGAATAATTATACTTGTATCCTAAGGTTGTTAAAATTAGAAAAGCTAAGATGTATATAAAGTACCTATACCTAGAACCCAGAAGGAAGAGGCCAATAAATGGAAAGTACAATCATCTACTTAGGGAAATGTGTGTGCAATGTTGGTGGGAGCCAGGGAGATAACTCTGTCTCAGGTTTATAAACTTGTATAAGTAGAACTGTTATCCGAGACAGTTGTGGGTTACTCTTACACTCTTGCATTTAGAGGGTAGTAATGACAGGAACAGAGGAAGAACTACTTTCTATTCTACTCTTTTTTTCTTACACTGATAGTTTTTGGGCTACATCCTTCATCTCCTTTCCCCATAATCAAACAGTTCATGCATTGAAATGTAAAATACATGTAGAAATCTTATGATTTTCAGAAAAGTCAAGGGGAAGGTATGCTTATAATAGTCGCATGATTTTTTTTCCCTTCTCTTTTAAGCTGAGCCACTATTTGGATATTGTGGAAGTAAACATTGCTCACCAGATCTCTCTACGTTCAGAAGCATTTTTTCATGCAATGACCTCTCAACATGAATTGCAGGACTACCTCAAGAAAACTTCCCAGGCTGTAAAAATGCTTCGTGATAAAATTGCACAGATTGATAAAGTAATGTGTGAAGGATCACTACATATTTTAAGACTGGGACTTACCAGAAATAATTGTGTTAAAGTATACAATAAACTGAAGTTAATGGCCACTGTACACCAAACTCAGCCTACAGTACAGGTGTTATTATCTACTTCTGAATTTGTTGGAGCATTGGATTTAATAGCAACAACGCAAGAGGTTCTACAGCAGGAACTGCAGGGCATTCACAGTTTCCGGTATGTCTATTAAGTAAGCCATTAGCAATAATGTTAGAAAAACTTAAAGGATAAATATTAGTATTTAATGTTAAAATCATAGATGTATTCAAAGTAAAATGTACAATTTTTCTTCAGATTGAGCTGCTTAATAATGTTATTCTGATATTTCAGTATTAGCAAAACAAAAACTATAAGAAATAATATTTACAGAGATTCAATAGAATAGCAAAATTAAACTTTCTAGGAGATAAAATAAATATAAGACCAGTCACAACTTTTAAAATAACATTTTGAAAATGTTGAAATAGCTTTGTGTCAAGATGGTAGATCAAAGTAGAGAAGTTAATGGTAGTATATTTTTAATTAATTTAAACAGCTTTTTAATAGGTTTCAAATTGAATAATTATTAAGATTTATTTCTGATTTTCAATCTGTTTATAACATGGTAATGGGAAAGGCCCAGCTTCTTCTAAGTTCTTACTTCAAAAATACCTTTACAAAAAAAAGAAAAGAAAAGAAAAAGGAGGGCGGGGGCTATACCTCAGTGGTAGAGTACCTGCCTGGCATGCAAGAGGCCCTGGGTTTGAGTACTATTACCACAAAAACCAACAATAACAGAGAAAAGCTTATGATTTGATTTCAATATTACACATAAAAATATCTTTTAACATTACAGTTTAAGATATTTAATGTGAAGTCATTTTAAAGTACTTACTTTATAGATCAGTTGCAAGTCATATAGTTTCATTCAGTTAAGCAAGTGTTCAGTGTTCTTGTAAAGGTTCCTATCTTCTGGAACCTCATCCAAACCTTACATTACAAAGTTACTACAGATAAGTTTTATAGAAGATGTGGCTCTATAACTTAATAGATACTTAATATGTTCTGGGAAAATTAGCTTCAAATTTATATTGACTAAATTTATATAATTGAAATATTTATTTAAAAAGTACTTTTTAACTTGGGCCAAATTTTATTAATTGGTTGATTCATTCATTCATTTAAGAAATGGCAGTTGAGCATTTATTACATGTTGAGTACCAGAAAGAATACTAGATACATAGTCATGAACACAGCAGACAAATTCTACCAATAGTTTCTTCAATGTATTTGACCAGTAGAGAGGACAGATACATGCCTGGGCAGTTATGATACAGTGCAATGCAGTATGATGATGAATCTGCAGGTTAGTTTGAAACTCTAACTTTACAGGAGGAATCTAAGCCAGATTTAGATGGTTGCAGAAGTTTTGATTCTCTTAATCTCTTTGAGAATCCATTCAAAGCTATTGTTTGAAATTCTTTCCATAAAAATATACCTATTCATGAATTTTACAATTAGTTTTGGATAATTTATGGTTCTTTGAAGCCTACTTTGGATTCCCCAACATGGAGCCCAGAGTAGCAAGTGATTTCTAATTTCCCTTTCAACTCTTGAATCTTAAATCTTAATCTCTTTTAAATTTGTATTTTTAAATATTAATCAGTTTTGTTATTACTTTAGGAAAATAGGCTTCTATAATAACAGAAGCTATGATTTTCACTGGTCACTTAATATATAAAAAATGAGTGTTGATGAATATTGGAGCCAGTATCTTCTGGATAGAACAGACTGAGAAATAGAATCAAAGATTGAATGCTTGCTTGTTAAACGCAAATTCTAAACCTGTTCTAATTTCTACCCCTAAACTCATGCAGTTTAGTTAAGCTTATTTTCCTTGACTCAGAATTTTGTGATCAATAATATTGATGAGATAATATTGATATTGAGATTTTTTCCAAAGCTATCTGGAAAAAATTTAAGAGCAGTGTTGAATATTTATTACCAATTTATGATTTAATGGACTACAGAATGAAAATGTTATAAACTTGTATTTATTCTGAACTCAAGTTTCTTTTATTTATTTATTCATTCATTCATTCCTATAGGTGCTGGAGATCAAATGCAGGGCTTTGTCATGCTGGGCAAGTGCTCTAACACTGAGCTACATCCTCAGCCCTTTTATTTTCAACTTTACTTTTTTAGTTTTTACCTTAACTCAGAAGACAAAATATTCATTAAAACGTGTAATATTTTTAAGGGCTGGAGGTATAACTTAGTGGAAGACCCTTGCCTAGCATTCATGTGACCCTGGGTTCAAACCCCAGAACAGAAAAAGAAGAATAAAAAATTATATATACATGTATATGTATATAATTTAAAAATAAAGACTTTCAGGTGTTCTAGTGTTCTACATTTTTACATTTTGCTCAGATATTACCATTTTCTTTAGAATCTACACATGTAAAGATTGTTAATTCTTCGTGTAAAACGTTTTGTAAGGCTGCCTATTAATGTCAGTTCTGTTATGGCGTACTTATATAAAAGTTTGGTATATCAGAACCTGAGTATCTAACTTCAGATAAACATTTCCACATGCAAGTAATTTTCAAAAATAAAAGTACTCTAAAAATATTTTTCTAATTAAGGAAGAATACTGACTCATAGTTGAAGAAGTTAGAACTGGATTTTTTGTAGCCGAGTGTTTTTGTTTTTTGTGTTAAATTCTATTTGATGATTTACTTCCTTATTTCCTTTTGCTATAATGTTGTTAAACATCAGCATTACTTGTATAGCTTCACAAATATTTTTAAGGCCATTTCATTTTATTTGGAAACATGACTTCATTTCGGATCCTTTATATTTTTATCTAATCAATCAGGAAAAATTATATTATAGGTTTTTTGTCTACTATAAGCATAAGTGGTATGAACTGTGTTCTCCTTAGGTTATTAAAATGTTTATGTTCTCCCAGTAGGGAATAAGAGGTGTTCAACTTGAATTTCACGTGCTTTTTTTTTTTTCCCCCAATGTTCAAATTTTATTTATTTTAATGGGGCATGTCTTAAAAAAGCATAAAGGCCTTTTTTCTTAGAATAGCCAAAGGACTGTAAGGATTTAAATTGTTAATCATCTTTCTGTTTTACAGATATTAGTCCCAAGTTTTGCTTTTGTCTATAGTACTCTTTCTATTGATTTTAAAGGGAAATTTTATATCAAAATCTCCCAGTAGTTAAGTTACCACAAATGCAAAGTTCTATTTTTAAAAAAGAATTTGAATAGTTTTATGTATTATTTTTTGTGCACTGTTAACATATTTCTTCTAATTCGTGGTCGTAAATAAGGCATACATACAGATACATATACATAGATCTTTCTATCTATCTATCTATCCATCCATCCATCCATCTAACTGCCTTTTGATGGTAGTGGGGGTTGAACTCAGGGCCTCATACTTGCTAGGTAGGCATTCTACCTCTTGAGCATGGCTCCAGCCCTGTTTTGACTTAGTTATTTTTGAGGTAGGGTCTTAGGTTTTTACGTGAGGCCAACCTAGACTGTGATCCTTCTATTTATGCTTCCTACTTAGCTGGTATGATAGGCACACACCAGCATGCCCAGCTGTTGGTTGTGGTGGGGTTTTACTAACTTTTTGCCCAGAGTCACTCGAACCACAGTTGTCCATATCTCCAGCTCCTGAGTAGCTAGGATTACAGACTACTTAGGATTATAGATAGGAGTGAGCTCTGTCCCTTTCTGTACCTTTTGACTTTGAAATTATTTTCTGTATAAACTTTGTTTTGTGACTTCTGAATTCCCAGAACTCTTTGTTTATACTCTCTTAGGAAATCTTACAACATTCTACCATATTTTGTTGTCACTTGTGTTTTTCAAAATCCTTCTATTGATAAATGTCTTGGACAAGAACTATGCCACACAAATCGTAATATATCATTTTTGGAATCTATTTTGACACTTTGTACCATTCTTTTTCTTTCTTACCTTTTTTCTTTCCATAATCATTGGATTATGGACTGGGGATGTAGTCAGTGGTAGAGTGCTTATCTATCATGTACAAGGGTTTGATCTCTACTGCCGCAAAACAAAAACAGCAATAAAATGTAATAATTGGATTATGGTAATTTTAACCATTTATATTTAATGGTTACTAACCATTAATTAATTTTATTTGGAAACATAAGAATTCATTTGGATCCTTTGTGCTACATAGGAACCTTTGAGAAGAGCTTTTTAAAAAGGCTTGCCACACCCCACAAAACCAATTAAGATAGGCTTCCTAGAGGATAAGACCTGGGTATCAGTACTTTTTTTTAAAAGTTCTCTGAGAGATTCTAATGTGCACCAGAATTGAGAAGCCTGTATTATAATTACCATTTGACATTCTACTTTGTCAGGACTTGCAATTAAAGTGCTAACATCTTCCAATATAAATTTGTTGATTTTAAAACAAAAGCTTTAACCAAAGCATCTTCCTCTTTCTTTTCAAAGAAATACAGTGCATCTGATATGAATGTAAAAAATCCCAAAGTTTGATCACCTCTTCCAAGCCTGAAGAGTAATTTTACACAGTGGGAAAATTTGGCTCATTATGTAATTCATAATTATAGCTCTTTTGTATATTTGTTAGTTATGTAATTTTAAAGAAATTTAATGATTTTACTGCTCAAATTGTTGCAGAATTGGGCAGTTTTAATTATTGGGAGATAAATATTTTTAACTATTACTCATGAAATGAAAGTCTTCTATTGCAATAAAAATAATCACTGAAATATGTATTGTTTGTGCTGTACACTAATTTAACTAAAAGCATTGCTAAGGTTAATGAAGTTTAAATACTTACATAGATACAATGTAGAAGTCTCAATATGGGCCTGATACATTTGAATGTTGATAACCTGCAGGTCTTGTACTTGCTAGGCTAACTACTCTACCATTTGAGCTATGTCCACAGCCCCCTTTTTAAATTTTGAGGTAGGGTCTCATTAATTGCCTGGGCTATCTTCAAACTCAGGATCCTCCTGCCTCTGCCTCCAAGTTGCTGGGAGTATAGGCTGCACTACCACAATGCCTGGCTCTTTTCTTTTCTTTCTTTTTTTTTTTTTTAAAGTGGGAAATATTGAGAGTTAATTATTGGTTCCAGCTAATTGTGGTTTCGTTAGAGGCCATCTTGAGTTTCT